ACAGGGAAGTGGCTTCCCGCCCCATTACATTTCAGGCAAGAAAATGACTCAATTCAGAATCCTGACACTCTCACCTATTCCCACCCACTCCGCTGCCATCTCCCACCCCCCAAAAGCAGAATTACCACCGTTCTTAAGCCAGGGTCTCAGTCAGTTACACTGATAGTGACCCTCGATGGCTTTGGAGAAAACTGGGCTTGGATTTCGTAATAACCACACGACGCATCTGGAATTCCAGGGTGGAAAAAGTACCTTGTTTATCTTCACTTTGCTGTGTGAGATGTGTGCCTGTGTGTGTGTGTGTGTGTGTGCGCACGTGCGTCTTAGTGCAGTGCCTGGCACAGATGGACGATAATGTTAGCCACTTCCTACCATAATTACGATTATCATCATCACCTTTATTAGCTGAAGACGGCATGATCTGTGGCATCAGGTCAGAGTATCTGATGTGGCCTAAATTTTAATCGTCTTATTCCTTCCAAACGCTGACAAACTACCAGCCTCGGCCACTTAAAAATCACATTTCTAATACAAGATTCCCATCACAATGAGTGTGGAGGAAATGACTGCAGGCCAAGGGATTGCGCAAAGTGAATCGCTAAGTCCCTACAAAAACTACCCATGCTGGTTCCACAGTTAAGTCTGGTAGATGCACGGTCACTGTTCTGCAACACGCTAAGCCTGAGAGGAGAGGTTACTGCTCATGCGGGTGGACTGGGAATGCTTTCATAAACAATAAGATGTTCTGGACAGTTTTTAATGATTATGCTGCAGGAATTTTTCTGATTTCTACTGATACTATCTCTTAGCTGTTCCTTTATCTAAAATACTTCCAAAATGAGTCTAATGAAGCTTTTTCTAATGTGTTCTTGAAAGGAAATTGAGTAAAATTCCCTCATAACTAATAAATATTTTAAATGCAATGTCTATTTTATCTATTTATAGTGTTTTACAATGGCTTTGGGGGGAACTTTTGAATAGAATTATTTTCCATACCTCTCTTTCGAGCTAGCAAAATACAGAAATATGTATTTATATCTCCCCAAGTCTAGACTTCCTTGGGCTCTGGCTATTTAGAGCCCACGTTTGGTGTTTTTAACCCCTAGGACACATTCCTTTCTTTCATCTTGTGATTCCTGGACACCCTTCGCAGGATGTCTGGCTAATCTCGCTGATATTTCTGGGGCATAAATGGACTCAGAATATGTGACTGCAAAAAAAAAAAAGATAGGAACATAGTTCTGGACTTTTCTTACATAAAGTAAGATTTTCTTCTACTGATATGGAAATGAACAGATGTCTGATAACCTTCTGCCAACCCGGGGCATTGCTTCCTACTCAGGGGAATTTCTTTAGGCTGTTTCCTAGGACTTACATAGTCAATTAAAAAAGTTTCTGTCACAGATACCAGAATGACCTAGGCTAGCTCAAAAAGGAGGGATTTGTTCCTTTACCTGTTTCTGGCTTAGTGCCTCGACTTCATAAAACAGAAAGGACACACTCCCCGCCAGACATGAAATAGTTTTATATTTCCACACTGGAACACTACAATGCACAAATGGACTGTCCTCACTTACAATCCCAACGCTTCACACATCCACAGTCTTTTATTTGACCACTTCTACTTCCCAGCCCTAGAAGAGAAATGATATAAACCAAGTAAGCACTTTTTACTGGCTGAGGTAATAAAAGTCAACTGGAATATTTTACAGTCTGCCACCAGGCACAAATCTCTCCTCAGCCAGGTAAGTTGCTATTGGAAAAAAACAAATTCAGAGCATCATTAACAGAGTTAGGTGAACTTACAGTTGTCACTTCTACATTCAAGAGTCTTGACATTGCCAACAAACAAAACTTTCATGATGAAATCTACCCCACTCTCCAACCCTTTTCCACAAGACTCAAATTCCATCCACGGAAACCCAAATCCATTATCATCCTGTCCTCTGGGCTCCATCCCAGTCTGTGTCTCTTGCCTCCAGCCTGCCCGGGTATATCCCAGGTGTCACATTCTGCCATGAAGCTCTGTTCTCCACTCCTGAGAGTGCTCAGCACCGGGTGGAGCTCCCCGGCTAACAAAGCCAGTCACTAATTTGGGGGACCAACCAGATACCTCTCTAGGGGCTCCCAGCATCTCATCCTGCAGTCCCCACCCAAGTGTCCCATAGGTAAAACTAGGGGGATTCAATGGGGGTTCCTACCTACAAAAGGGCACCGCATGTGAATTCATATGGCAGTATGACATTTGGGAAATACACTAAGGAAATCAAACCTGAAATTAAGTAATGTTTTATAAGAAAAGACTTAAAGAACCTTAACAGAACCTTGTTTGATTAATAATTGTCAACCCACATGTCTTTCTCTAAAGAATCGAAACATTTTTCAAACCTTACCTTAGATCATTCTTACGACATTCTAAAAGTTTGAATCTGTTTTCCATTGGGATATGAATGGGAAAGTTAAAACAGACAAAGAAAAACTCTGACTTATTCAATGTCACAAATACATCAGTGGTAGAGAAAGAACCAAAACCAAATCTATCCTAAAATAAAACGGTTCCTGACTATACTATTTTGCCTTTGCCTTTTAAATGCCTACCTAGGAGACTTAATGCCACCTAGTAGAACTGAATAACTTTATTTGAGAAAATACTCCCCACCATAGAGTTAAGCATCTTAAGTGAATTACAAAGATGATTTTTGCTAATTACCCCTAAAAAAACATGTCTTTATCTTCCAGACTCTTGCTCTCCGGAGAGAATTACATGTTGGAGTCACAATGACATCTCTCGTTCTACTAAAACTTAACTCCTTCAGTGCCTGAGAGCTGTAGATGTCCACTGTTTGCTCATAAATCCTGCACTAGAAAGAAGAATGGCCTTGTGTCTCAGCTACATGGCCCACCATCCATGGTGCACTGGAGAACTGGCATTCTTTGGTTTAACTGTTGCCAACATTAAAGGTATAATGGAAACTGTACCTAATTACAGGGTATAATTACATAGACACACTCCTAAAATTATTGTTCCCAAAACCATCCAGGTTGGTAGCTAAAATTGGGGCCCCCTACCCCCTTACTAACAATGAGCTAACCCAGAGTGCCCTGGACTCCTGGCTAAGTCCTGAGTGGTTCGCCATGTAAATCTCAGGCCACTGTGGTTCTGTGTGGTATGCAAGTGTGACCTTACAGCAATCCCTGTGACTGTCCCCATGACTGACTGGTCTTCTCTAGATGTCCAGGATCACTGGAGTCAGAAAGGAGCATGGAAGTCTGGTACATAGATGCTTCAAGCCTCTAACAATCTGATTAGTTTCCCAGCATCACTTTTATTTCATTATGTAAATAACACCAGCAAGTCTACTGAGCAGCCTCCTATACATACCGCACATGAACTTTCCAGGCAGCTTCAACAAAAACAAAAATCCAGCTTGTCACTTGACCCCATAAATCACGATGGATGCATTTAAGTTTCAACGTGTATTGCTTCTTCTGCAGATTTCCCTCCCCTTCTGAAATGTGTCTGTTTTGTTTTACTCTCGCACATGAGAAGCACTCAACAATATAACCTTATTATATGAATAGGTCCTCAAGAATGTCCTGAACTAACTCAGTAGGCTGCAGGGTATTAGGGTTGCCAAACATCAGATGGCACATATCTTTAAGAACCAAAGTCTTCCAAATCTGTATCAGACAGTCCCATCCCATTCACAACCTCACAGCATCCTCCCCTGCCTTCTTCACACAGCTCACACAAATGTGACCAAATTATAAACTGTGCGTTTTGTGGTTTGCAACCATAACCCCCAGTAGAATCTCAGCTCTGTGTGGACAAGGACTGGATGGACCTGTGATTTTCCCTGCTGTACCTGATACAGGGAGGAAATCAATGACAACTGATCAATATTCAAAACAGGAAATAAATCTCCAAGTCATGAAACACTATTAAATTAGCAGGTCTACCATGTAAGGATAAAATAAGCTTTCAAACTGAGATTTATTCTTGGGGTGCCCTGCAGATTTATTACCGAGGTACAAAAATGGCAATGTTACAACAACCCACCAGTTAATTATTCTTGAGATAAGTTCTGGATTCATAAAACCAATTCTCCTGGTGATGATTTTCCACATTTTAAATTTTACAACGGTCTGTGGGTATTTGTTTAACTTAACCTTGTAAATAAAAACAGCATCGTGTGTGTTTGGATAACCAGACAAGGCAAGCAGATGCAGTTATTTCTAAATTCCACTATTCAGAGTCACAATATTTCATTTCAAAAGTCACAGAAATATAAACCAGAAAATGCCACTGAACAAAGTGTCAGAAACCTCCACCGCAATCCACTGTTTTCTTGATACTTCTAACCACTGATAAAAACTCTTTGAAGCGGAAGAGTAAATATTATCATTCGATAATACTTGGACCCAACAGTGCAAATACAACTGCATTGTGTTGCACTGGGGGCTCCGGGCCGGGCACACGACGACGCGGCAGGGTTGCTATGGAAGAACTAATGTGCTTGGCCCGGAGCGAGCCACCTCGTAATCCTCCGGCGACAGACAGAATGCTGAGCGGGCAAGGCTGGCTTTCCAGTGTGTGTCTCGGCTTCTGTACCAAGCGATGGGAAACACGCCCTCCCAAACACCGGCTCGCTGTGACTGCCCCCACTGACATTCTAAGGGATCACCGATGGGGGCTAACGAGCAGCCTGCGGTCCCGCTGGCTGGACAGGAGGACGAGCCACCTGGGGGCGTCCCTCCGGAACCCAGAGCCTGAAGCTTTAGGCTCCGTCCCTCTGGGAACCAACTCCCCTTCCCCAGGGGTCCTCGCAGAGAGACCCAGGTGGGTGGCCACCCGAGCTGGCGTCCCCGGGGTGTGCACCAGCCCCCCGCCCGGCCGCCGGGGCCCCTCCGGGGCGGCGAGGCGCGTGGTCCAGGCTGTGGTCCGCGGTCGCACCCCGCGCTCCGGGGTCACCCGCCCGCCGTCCCCGCCCCGCGCTCACCTTGCCAGGGAAGGGCCCCGGGAGAAGCAGCTTGAGTGCCTGCCTCTTCAGCTCCACCAGTCGGGCGTTGCAGTTCTCGCACCAGACGCCACGGTCCGAGCCGGGGGAGGAGCCGCCGCCGCTCCCGGAGCCGGGGGAGCCCGTGCCGAAGCCCGGCGAGCCGCCCAGGGAGCCCGGGGAGCTGGTGCCGATGCCCGGGGACGCGGGCCCCGGAGAGCCAGTGAAGGAGCTCGGGGATGAGGTGCCCGAGCCGGGAGACGGGGTCCCCGACGAGCCGAGCGCCGAGCCCGCGCCCTCGGGGGTGGGCCGGCTCCCCGCGCGCGACTCTTCGTAGGCTTTCCGATACCAGCTTTCGGGGGAGAAGGGCGCCGCGGGGTTGGTGGGCGAGCAGCCTTCGTTCACCTGTGGGCGAGACACGCGGTGGCAGCGCGGCGGGGCGGCAGGACCCCGAGCCCAGGAGCCGCGCTGTGCGGGGGGCGCCATCCCGCCCGGGGACCCACGGGCCGGCTCCCCACGGCGCCAAGCCCGCGCCTAAATCCCCTGCCTCGGCCTCATTAATTGTCCTGAAGGGAGTACCCGCCGCCGGGGGGACCCCCGTGCCTGTTCCGGGCACCAGCTGACTCGTCCTGGGGGCAGGAGATGGGCTTGCTGGGGACTGGGCTGGAGAGGGGTGTGAACGGCTTCCTCAGAGCGAACCCCAGATCCAGCGCTCCGCGCCTTTGAAGCCGGCACCCGCCCCAGCAGGAGCCCAGGTCCCAGATCCTTGAACCCACTGCGGGGGGTGGGCGGTGTGACTTCTCGATTTTTTTAATTCATTCTCGATTTTTTTAATTCATTCGAGGCACAGCCCTTCAGATCCTGCAAGTAAATGAAAGGACCCTCCCGCTCCAGGGAAACGATCCGAGGAACCGCAAGGAATTCGTGGGAAACCCTGCCTTCGGCTTAACTCTGCCTGGAAGTCCGGGAATACTGCAAAAGTTAAGGGTGCAGGCAAAGCAAGGACCCACGGGCCGGAGAGCTCCGGGGCGCCGGGCGGTGTGCGGGTCCTGGGGGCGGACCCGCCTCCGCGCACGCACGGCCGCCCCGGGAGCCTCCGCGGCGGGAGCCGAGAGGGCCGCGCGTGCCGGGGAGGGAGCCCTACGCCCGAGTGGGCCTGGTAAACGCGTCTTCGCTTTGTGCCCGTCACAACTTACCCCGTATTTCTTGCCCCTGCTGGAGACCGCAAGCCTCTCTTTATTCCCAGCTACTGAATTCATGGTGGCTTTTGCAGAGGAGAGCGCGTAAATGTCTCGCTGATGCTACATCCAAAAGATCTGCGGCCCAGACGCGCCCCCGCCCCTCCCCCGCTGCAGGGGGGCCGTCTCGTGGCCCTCAAGTCAAGATTTCCTAATTGGGGGTTCAGAAGAATAAAAGCAAATGGACCCCAGAAGTAATAGCACCAATTTGCAGAAAGGGCTGGAGTAGCTGGTTTATTCTTCTCTCCAAATAATGCTTTTCTTCATCCCCTTCTGCCTCCTCCAGTCGCACGTTCGCTTGTCACGGTCACATCCAGATCACTGGCATCGCCCTCAGCCAAGTCGCTCGGTTCTCTGGAGGGCACAGAGGGACAGCCTGGGCACTGCAGCGCGGGAAGGTGGGCGAGCCCTCGCGGCGCCCCACGCGCCCTCCGTCCGCGCGGCCGGCGGTGGGAACTTGCCTCCTCCACGGCGCTCGCTAACTGAGTTCAAAGAAATTCTCCCAAAATATAAAGATCCAGACTCGGGGAGGAGCCTCGGCGTGTCGCCGCGCCAGTGTGAGCCGGCCCGCGCCGCCTGACAGTTGCGCGAGGGCAGGGAGCCTCCGCGGTCAGGGCGCGCGTGTGCGCCCGGGCGCGGCGTGGAGCCTGGGGAGCCGCGGCCGCGCCCCAGTGGAGCCCGCCGCCTGCCTGCAGCCGCCGCGCTGCCCGGGATCCATTTTATGGCGCGGCGCTGCTGCCCGACACTGCGGGGCCGGGCTCCGGCGGGGGTGGGGCCGCGTATCGCGCTCCCGGCGGGGAAGTTCCCGGAGAGCGGCCCGCGGCCGGGCTGAGGCTACGCCACCGCACGAGCCCGGAGCCGGGGACGGAAGCGCTGCGCCCGCTCCCCGCCCCCGAGCGCCTTCTCTTCCTGGCGAGGCCCGCAGGTCTGCCTCGCCGTGCGAGGCGGATTGAGTCCCAAGTCCACAAACACGCCGGGCCCTCCCCGCCCTTTGTTCTCCGAGACCTGCCCCGCGGACCTTTTTGGGAATCGCCCTCCCGCCCGGGCCGCCGGGGCCTCCCTCCCGGGGCGCAGCTGGGGACGGCGGGCTCGGCCCCCCCGCCGGCTACCCTGCCGGAACCCCAACCTGTGGGGCGCTGCGCCGCCCCGGGCTGGGACAGGTGAGCTGGGCACCCGGCCGCCGGACAGGGGAAACTGAGGGACGCGGCGCAGACGGCGCGGACGGAGGGGGGGTGTGGCGCGAGAGGGCCTGGGCCTCTCCGGGCCAGGGACGGTGGCCTCGCCGCGTGCCGCACTCTGCTCCGCGCGCGGGGCCGGAGGGGCAGGAGCTCCCTCCCTGCGCCCCTCGGCTATCCCGCACTCGCCCCCGGCGCGGCGCCCGCGTGCGCAGGCCAGCCTCCACACGAGGCTGCTCGGGCGTCAGTTTTCTCTCCCGGGAGTCCGTGGCTCCCGGCGTGCGTGCGTCCTGTGCTGACCTTTAATTAGCACCGGCGACGAGCCGCCCGCGGCAGCGGCGCGGCCCGAGAGGTGTGACGGCGTCTCCGACACCCGCGGGCCCTGGGGCAGGGCGGCAGCCCCCCTTGGAGACAGCGACGGGGCGGGAGGTGGCAGGAAGACAGTAATTCGGGGCGCTGGGGCCTCGGGGCGACGCCGCCCGCCCCGCCCCGCCCGGGGAGATTCTGCCCGTGCCCGCACGCCCGGCCCCGGGAACCTTCCCAGCCACCGAAGGTCAAAAATGAAGATGTTGAGCACAGTGTGGAAGTTCCCGTTACGCGCCTACTTCCAATGTGAAAGCGGTCACACCAGAGACGACCTTGGGGTACGGGGAGCCTCGGGCAGCGCGCGCCCGCCCGCCCGGCGCAGCTGTGTTCCGCGTCGGCCCCGCGGAAGACCTCGTCGCCATTAGCCGCGCGGGAACTGCGTATGGCCAGGTGAACTGGACAAGCCAGCGAGGCCCGGGTGGGGAGGGTGGGGAGGGTGGGGAGTCGGGGGAGCAGTCGGGAGCCGCGCAGTCCCCCTCGGAGAAAGAGGAGCCCGGAGCGATCTGATTTGCATCCCAAAGTATCCGGGGCCCCCAACGCGCGTTTGATGGACTCGGAGCGCCCTCTGTTGGCAGAAGTGTATAACTGGAAGCCCCTCAAGGGTGATTTCCAAGCTTTAAAAAAATTGATCATTTTAAGTGTACATATCTATGGATTTTTATAAATGTATATCTTCTTTTAGGTAAAAAGCTATCCCAATTAAAACATAAATGCCAATCACTCCAGAAAGTTCTCTCCTGCCTGTTCCCAAGCAGGCCCCACCCCTCATAAGCAACCTCTATTCTGATTTCTACAAATTAGTTTTGACTAATCTTGACTTTTTTTCTTTATAGAATTCTTAAAGTATGTACTCTTTTGAGCTAGTCCTAACGTAGGTTTTCCAGTTTCATGTTTCTGTTTTCTACTTGTACTGTGGTTTTTGTTCCTCCATGTCCTGCCTTATTTTTGTTAAATAATTTTTTAGTATTCCACTATCATCCTTTGTTAAGACTCTTACTATTATACGCATCTTTAACACAGTGCCACTTCACTTAAAATGTATACTTGGAACAGTACAATTCTATTTTACTGACTTCCTTTGGGCTAATGAATTTTATATCCATATAAAACTCACAGTAGAATCTTATCAGTTTGTCTTTAAATAATCTGTTGTCTTTCCATGAAACTAAAAATATATTGAATGTTTCTATTTACCAGTTTCAGCATTTCTGGGACTCTTCATTTTTTTTCCTGTAGAGCTAGATTTCCAACTGGATTGTTTTCAGCTTGAAGCACTTCCTGTAGCATTGCTTATGGCGACGGTCTCCTGACAACAGATTTTTATTTGGCTTATCTGGAAATGTCTTTGTTTTTCTCCTATGTTGGAGGAATAGTTAACTGGACGTCCAAGTCATGATTGGAAGTTACTTTTCTTTCCTCTCTTCCAGCATAGCATTCATTCCTTCTGGCCTTCCTTGTTTCTGCTTAGAGGTGAGCAGTAATTCTTATGGGCATTTCCCTGTATGTAATGTGTCCTCTTTTCTCTGCGTGTTTTAAAGATTTTCTCACGGTCCTTGGTTTTCAGAAATTTGACTATGATGACCCTATGTTTTTCCTGCTTAGGGTTTGCTGAATTTCTAAGACCTAGTTTCTAAGTTGATCTGTAAGATTTTCACCAAATTTGGGGGATTTTCAGCCACTATTTATTCAAATACTTTTTCTGTCCCATTCTTTTTTTTCTTCTTTTTTTTCTTTTTTTTTGGTAGCAGGGATTGAACTCGGGTCCTTGCACTTGCGCAGCAGGCGGTGAAACTACTGAGCTAAATCCCCAGCCCTTTCTGTCCCATTCTATATCTTTCCTCTGTCCTGTGACTCTAGTTATGTGTATGTTGTTACACTGCTGGATATTGTCCCATAAGTTCTGTTCATTATCTCCATTTTTACCCTTCTGTTGTTGTCCAGAATGTAATAGTTTTCTTTAGGACATTCGATGCTGTACGTGTGGTACTCTCTAATTCTAGTTTTAATGGTGGCTTTTTCAGCTCTACCTTGGGCTTTTAGAATTCATATGGTTTCAGAGGACTTTTTTCTGTAAGTTAGTGGCCTGTAGAGAGTAGATATAACTTTATTTTCTAGACTAAAAAATCTCAGTAACACAATTGAGCCCTTCAGAGATAGACATCGATAATACAGACAGAAGTATCGATGTATTTCTCCTTTCCTCACATTCAAGGATGGTAACAAAATTACTTTAAGATTTAGCTGTTTAAGAAACCCTCAGTTTAGTAGTGGAAAAATTTTTTAGTACATGTTTGCAATACCTTCCTTGTGTGGAGTTGGTACGTGTACAGAACATATCTTCATTCCTTTTTTCATCTCCTTTCCTCCTCTTCCCTTCCCTTCATATACCCATCAACAGATGAACAGGTAAGAAAAATGTGGTATTTATACACCATGGAGTACTACTCTGCCAAAAACAAAGATAAATGAGTCATTTGTAGGAAAATGGATGCACTTTGAGACCATAATGTTAAGTGAAATAAATCAGACACATGAGCTTAAATACCCATCTTTCTCTTATATGAGAAACCCAAAGTATAAATAAATTGGAAAAGAAAAATAAAGGATAAATGGTGGAAAACGGGGATAGAACTTTTGCAAATGAGAAGGTGACCAGAGACGGAGGGAGGGAGGGAGGAAGAGGCAAGAAAGGGAAGGAGAGGGGTCAGGAAGAGATTCCAATTGTGGTGTACATTCACCAGCTCCCCGCAGTGAGGGTGATCATCGTGTACTGCAAACATATACTGATAAAAAAAAGGTCAGAATAAAAAAAAAAAAAAAAAAGCGAGGAGAAGCCAGGTGTGGTAGTACACACCTGTAATCCAGTCCCTCTGGGAGGCTGAGGCAGAAGGATCAAAAGTTGGACCCCAGCCCGAGCCATTTAGCAACTTAGCAAGACCCTATCTCACAATAAAATAAGAATACTGGTGATGTAACTCAGTGCAAAGGCCCTGGGTTCAACTCCCATTACCTTCAAAAAAAAAAATGAGTGAAGAGAATCAGACAGCAACACTGGGCAGCAGATGCTGGCACCCTTGGGCCTCAGGTTGCAGGAAGTGACTGCTTTGAAGAGGGAGCACAACATCCCATTTGTCACTCTTTACAGTGGCAAAGGAAGCAAAGCAGCCCGCACACAGCTCAGGAGGGAACAGGTTTAATGACTTAGTCTAATCAGACAGTGGGACACTGTGTAGCCCAGGATATGTTTCCCTAAGAAGGTAATGGAATGAAAAGATACTGCTGATACACTAGTGTTAAGTTAAAATATAAAAATAAAAAGGAATGCATAGTAAAACTGAAAAAAGTTGTATAAAATAGGTGGCTTATGATAAAATGGGATTTCAAAGCAATTTCAAAAAAAGAAAAAATTTTAGAAGCTAATAATATTCTAGCTTTATCATTTCCTAAGTTCAGAGTTGGGAATATAATAAAGGGCCAGGCAGCTCACCCAGGGCAGGGGCCACCCAGGGAGTGTCTCAGGGAGAATCAGCCCCTCCCTGTCTCCACCCTATGCACATTTGAGTACAGGCAGAGGAAGCCCCCCAAGTCCAGGACCTGGACTAGAACAGGTTGCTCCCTGGTCCAGTGAATTTAGAACCAGACCAGAACATCCTTCTCCGGAGGGTGCCTGGGAACATTTTTATTTAAAATTTCGAAAAATAGCACTCAGCTTATAAGCAAGCCACAGGCCAGCATGACAAAAATACAAAGAGTTCAGAGGAAAGCAAGATATTCCCAGAGCAGGGTCAGCAAAGGACCCTGGGGGAAGTGGCTTTGAGCGGAGCTCTCCAGGATGGCTCCGAGTGGGAGGAAAGTGTAGGAAAGACACCAGAAAGAGACAGCAGTCCGGAAGGAACTCTGGGTGCCTACAGCACCCTGGACAGAGGGGACCTCATTACATGATTCTATGAAGGGCAGGTTTAGGAGTCTGAACGGCAGGAAGTGGAGAACACCGGGGGTCTTGGGTTAGTGCCAGTCACCCCAAGGTCACATGGTCAATTGATCTGGTAGCAGTTTATAAGAAAGGGTGAAGCAAGCATACTCATTAGGAAAAGGAGGAGATTACAACTCAATAATGAGAAAACAAGCTAATCAAA